GTGACACAGCTTGTTGGTGGGAGGCCGGGAGTGTACATTTGTCCAGCTCCCCTGTCCAGAGGCCACATCTGGAGTCGGGGGAGCAGGGGGCTTGCTCCTTGCCTGGCCTCTGCGCCTGCCTTGTCTCCTCTGGTGGGTCGGGAGAGCGGTGGCAGTGCTAGGCACGTCTACCACACACCCTGGCCCTAATGCTCTCGGCCAGGGGCCAGGGAGAGGCAGGCCCAGGTCTCGGGAGCCAGAAGGCAGCCCGGCCTCCAGTTCCAGCAGGACCGAGCCCGTCCCACGTGCCAGCATGCCTCGCCTCTGCTTGCTCGGGCTGCATTCGCACCAGCCACACAGCTCTGGCTTCGTGCTTCCCATCGGGGTGGGGACACCTGGGCTCTCATGTTAGGGAGGGAAGGGGCAGGTGGCTGGGGACAGGTGCTCCCCAGCTCTGTCTCTTTCCCGCTGCTCCCTGGCCTGGGAAGGAAATCTTCTTTCCCAGCGGCTCTTTCTGCCCACCCGCCCCCTCTCGTCCTGTCCCCGAGAGCCACCGCCGGGGCTGGGAGGCTTGCTGTACCAGCGCCTGCCCAGGCCCTTCCTGGAGCACTGCTTGTGAGCCCAGACCCAGCTCGTCCCACACAGGGAGAGTGCAGGACGCCTGCCACGTCCCTGTGCCCTCGGCCCCACCCCACCCTGTGGTCCTTTGGGGGCTCCTGTCCCCACATGGGACGCTCTCTGCCCGACAGCCAGGGGCTGGGTCATTGCCCGGAATTGCCTTGCTCTCCCATGCTGGACCCCAAGATTGCCTCCCGAGCATTTTTGTTAAGATGGCAATAAAAAGAAATCAATGTCACACTCTGAACACACCCGGGTCCAGGATCTTTCTTTGTGTATTCTCTTTCTTCGCTTCCTGTGGAAACTTCCAGGCCCCAGAGCAGGGCTTAGGTGACAGGGGAGAGCCTGCTGGTGAGAGGGCTCCAGAGGCCCTTGCTCGCCCTGGTTCCACACACTCAGGTGACGGTGCCCAGCCCCATGCGAGGCCTTCAGGGACAGGGACAGAAGGCCAGGTCAGGGAGGCAGAGCACCCACCTATGATACCTTTGGTTATGTCTCATCGGGATGCACCTTGAAGTGCGATGGTGCTAAGCGATTTGGTCCTGTGTCCCCTAAAAGTTAGGGTTCCCAGGGAGGATCCCCTCCTTTCTGCCAGGAGAGTCCAGAGCATCAGGGTACTTTAAGGACCCTGAGACCTGAACCTCGGGGGGACATGTCCCTGCTGGTCCTGTTGTGAGTCTGTTGCAGGTGAGGCCCTGCACGTCCAGATCCAGGGCTTCTCAAAGTGGCTGAAGTGGCTTCCTCTGGCTGCCCCGGGAGTGTCCTCGGCAGAGTGGGCCTGGGCCTTGCCCTGGCCTGCTGCCCACCCTACAGGTTCTCCCAGGCAGCAGTCCCCAGGTCTTGGCCCGGAATCCCCTTTCTGGATGACCCTAACTACCTTTGGCTTTGGAATCCGACCATCCTCGGCAGGGTGCCGTGGAGATCAAGGCTCCCCACTTCCAGGAGGGGCAGAGACGCTGTGGAAGTGGGCCTGGGGTCTCCCTTCACCCCCACGGTCAGTGTGACTGGCTGGCTCCTCTCTGGCCCTGGGTCAGGAAGAGGACAAGTTGGAAGCGGTGAACCTGAAATGGAGGTCAGAGCAAAGGGCCAGGGAGGGGGAACTCATGATAATTTGGGATGGAAAAGATGGCCACACCCGTTTCTTGACGTCAGTGGGGCCTGGGAGGCCAGCACGTGAGAACAGGAAGAGGAAGCGGACGGTGTGTGCTGGACGTGAGCTGGGGCCTTCTCCAGCTTCCAACGGGAAACCATGAAGGTGGCCTCCAGAGGCGGGCTGGGAGGTGTCCTGTCCAAGGCCAGGTGACCACCTGGAGGGCGGGTGCAGGACCTAAGGTCCCTCCCAGCCCAGAGGCCTAATGTAAGGAGACAGAGTCCGGCCCACTCCCAGGCCTTGCCAGATCTGCCTGCCCCGTGGAGGGGGCAGCAGGTCTGAGCCTGGCCTTCGCAGGTCCCCTCTAAAGAAGGGGGTGCCTGGTGGGTCATTTTTCTCAAGTGGGAACCGACAGGCATTTCCTGACCCAGCTAGAAAACATGCGCCCTTGATAAGACATGGTGGGCAAGGGCTGGGGATTGCCTCTGTGCTCATCTGTCCAGGACCCAACGCCAGCAGGAATGTAACCACCCATTAACCCCATGAAGGATTCCACCCAGAACCCCCGCCTGCCCCTTCAGAGGTGCCCGAGTCTTCCGGTACGATCTGGACTGCTGGCCAGTAAGCTCTGCCCTGCCCAACAGCCCTGACTGGGCAGCTCTTGCCTGCTTCTCAGGCCTCCTCTCCAGCAAGGGGGTGACCTGGCAGCTCAGATCGCAGACCCTTCACTCCCTGGAAGCCGTGTGCTCTGCAGGGAGGGCTCTTGCTTACCTGCACCCTGGTGATGGGACAGCAGGACTCTGAGACTGGACCAGGCCACTAGGTATTAGCCCAGAATACTTAAAAAGGCAGACATAACGAGAGGATTCGCTTTACCTCGAAAATCATATCAACACGATCTCGGCAGGGGACTTTGTTGTGGTCACTCACCGAGAGCTGCCATCTAGGTCTTATTTCAAATGCCACGTTTAACACCAAACCCCAGATGCGGAACACACTGGGGTCTGTCTTTGAAAATACCTTGCGATCTACTCAGAGACCTGGGGTGCTCTGTCAAAGTATTGGTTCTTGGGTAGAAAAGCACCAGGGGATGGAAGGGGAGATTGACGCACATCTTCCTAAACCTTATGACAAATTCCAGAAGTTGCTCTTTTGAATAAATGGACCCTGATCCCTGTTACCTGTTCCTCGGTTGTCTTTTCCTTGGAAAGTTGAGTGATGGGGAAATGAGTCCATCCTTTTGAGCTTGAAGAATCCAGCAGGAGGGGACAAGGGGCAGTGGTCTCCTTCCCCTGTGCTCTGTGATCCCAGGGACTTTTGAGAACAAGAATGAATGGAGGGGTCGCCTTCCATATGCAGCCGGGAGGGAAACGTTTGGAGCTATTGCAGTTGCGTTCTGTGCAAACTACTAGGTTGATTATTTTTGGATGTCAAATTGCAGAGTCTAACTAAATTGGGGACTGGAAATTATTTTATATATTCAGGAAAAAATGTGGGCACGTATGGAGAGAAGGACAGCTCTGCCGTAGGAGAATTCGGATGGGGAGCTGTGACCAGGGATGATATCTCCGGGCCCCAGATCCTCTTGGCTCTAAGTTCTTGGCTCACACCATCAAGGTTGGGTGCGTGGAGATAACCACGTGGTTTTCACAGCTCTGAGGCCCAGTTCCTGGACAAGATGAAGTTCTTGCTCCAGGGTGGAGCTTGTGACTTGCTTCTAAAGGGGAAAGATGCCAAAGCCGGGGTTCTCTTCCTTCTCTTCCCTCTGTCTCGTTCTTAGTTCCTCTGAGTTCTGTGCTACGTTCCGTTGCCAGAGTGGACGGTTCCCTGGGTCCCAGTGGACCCCTTCTAAGGCCACGCCCACCTCCAAGGCAGACTTAGGTGAGGTCAGGATGGACGTGAAGATCCTGGCACTGACCCTGGGTCATCTCTAGTGTAGACCCTCAGTGCTGCTGGCCCCTGTGCCTACCACCGCTGCTGGAATGAGCATCTGTCTATATTTTTTCTTTCTACGTGGGAGATATAAATAGTAAAAACAACAGACGCCTTATTGAGGAAACCTGTAAAGTACTGAAAATCACAAACAAAATCCAACCATCATGGATCATACTGTTAGGACACGGCTCTGCGTCCTGCAAGCAGTTTACAGGGGCCGGTTTTTAAAGCATGATTGGAACCACAACATAAATAGCCCTCCCTCCTGTTATTCTTGCTCTGCGTTGTTTCAGCACGGTTCTGCCATGTGACAAAAGATTCTTTGCAAACATTTTTTTCTGGGGACGAGTAACATGCCACCGTGGAATGGACCCTCATTTACTCTGGCTTTTGAAATTCAGATATTTGAGCTTTTGCACTTTTGTAAATAGCGAGCCACGTGCGTCGTGGGTTGTGAGGTGGGCGCGCCTGCTGGGCATCTTATTGCCTTGGGTCTGTGTTGCCAGTTTGTTTCCCAGAGGGGAGGGCTGTGCGGGTGACCACTCTGGGAGATGCCTTCCTTGCTACCTGTATCAATATGCGTGTTATTGTTTTACTATTTGATTTTAAAGCCGCGTTGGTGCTTTACGTGCCCACATGGAAGCCATAGTGATGGTGGGAAAGCACAGGCCCCCCGAGCTGCACCTCCCGTTTATTGGCTGTGTGTCCTTGGACAAGTTACTTAGCCTCTCGGAGCCTCACTCTCTGTACCTTGAATCATTTAATTAGATTAAGCAGTGTTTGCCAACCTTTCATTGTCCCCTACCTCCTCTGTCCCCACGGGACCCTCTGTAAAGACTTTGGATCTTTAACATTCATTGAATGTGGTCCTGGGCACCCTTGCCCTGTGGGTTCTTTCTGCGAGGTTTTGTGAGACACTGAAAACAGCCCCAAGAACCCACCTTTCCCATCAGCAGCCTGTGAGGGTCAGGGACCCCTGCGGTAAAGGAGCTGGCTGCAGCTCAGTGAGAGAATGCTAGCCTCACAGGCACCAGGCCCCGGGTGACATCCCTGCGCTGGGGAAAAAAATAGTGACTGGCGGAGGAGCCGATGTGTTCCAGGCACCTCTAATCTGCTGCCAAATCTGACATTCACCATAAATACGCAGGCAAGCAGGGCTGTTGACAGTCCCTGGGAACAGATTCCTAGAGGCCCAGGGATGGGCTTGACGTCCCAGGAACGGCACCTGCAGGACAGGACCCTTCCCCAGAAGGGCAGCTGCCTCACCCGCCTCGCCGGTGCCCGTGCACTTGTGACTCGTAACCGCTCGCGCCTGCGCCCAGCCCTGCCCAGCCCTCCCCGGGCGGCCGCGGTTCTCACCTGTTGCCCTCGCCCCCAGGTACGTGGTCATCTCCCGGGAGGAGACGGAGCGGAACCTGCTGGCCTTCCAGCACGGCGAGCGCATCTACTTCCGCGCCTGCAGGGACATCCGGCCCGGGGAGCGGCTGCGGGTCTGGTACAGCCAGGACTACATGAGGCGCCTGCACAGCATGTCCCAGGAGACCATCCACCGCAACCTGGCCAGAGGTGAGTGTGCGGAGGCCATGCCCTGGCCTCTGCGGGCCCCCGGGCCTTCCAGAGGACACCAAGGAGGCGCAGATTCAAGCCCCAGCCGCGGGAAGACGGGGCCATTCGGGACCTCAGATGGCCCAGATCCGCGCCGTGCTCCAGGCCAGGCAGTGACCGCCCAGGGTGTCCCCTCCCCTGCAAGGTGGTCTCAGAAACCCCAACCGCACAGTTCAGAGCACTGGGAAGAGAGGACCCCACGGCCAAGGGAGGAGGCTTAATCCACTGACCCGTTCCCCAGCTCAAAGTGATGGAAAGATGTCACACTGCCGACACCTCAGCAGTCACAAGGACAGACGACATCTGCTACATGCTCACCGAGGGCTAATTGGGTTTCCACACGCTCCCATGGAACCCTCACGACTGGGGCAGCTTCCGCTCCAGCATGGGGTGGGAGTTCTGGGGAGCCAGTGAGGACCGTGGGTAGAGCAGGGTGAAGTCCCCAGTGCAGACCTTTAACAGTGACAACCCCACGTAGATGATTATCCCATCACCAACGGCACCAGTACATGCGGTGACTCACCCTGGGTCAGGTGCTGGGGAGGGCAGCCTGGGTTTCTGTCCCACAACTGTGACTCCAGGTGCTGAGTTCCAACCTGGTGGCTTCTCAGACAAAATCAGTCTCGTCCCCGCTTCCTGCTGGTCTCATGATCAGCTGACCTGGTGAACTGATGTAAAAGGACAGCTGCTCCGGAGAGAGTCCAGGAGGGCTGGGCAGGGGACGCAGGCCTGGGAGGCCGGCGGCTTGGTCGTCCGGGCTTCCTGTAAACAAGTCATTTGAATGTGGTTTAAAATACTGCCCAGCCCTGCCCTGCACCTTCTCACTCCACCCTCAGCCTGGCCAGGGTAACTAGCGAGTCTGGTCCTTCTCTCCAGGGGACCTTCTTACATCAAAGCCATACATCCAAATGCCCAGAGTCCATCTGGGCCCAGGAGCCCAGGCTGTGCCCGAGCCCCACCATGTCGTGTTTCTGACCAGCCGCGTATGTGAAGTCTGTCAATCGGGAAGATGGTTGGAGCAGATGGGAAGGGGTCGGGTGACTCCTTGAGGTTAAGCTGTCTTTAAAGACAAGTCAGAACAATGCAGATCCTGGAAACCGAGGGCAAGCTGCTGCCTGGCTTGGTAAAAGGTACCTGGTGGGCAGTGAGAGGGGATCAGTAGTCATTCTTACCTCTTGTCCTCTTTGGAACCGGGGGAAAGGTTACGGTGGCATCCACCTGACCTCTGGCGATGCCTCCTGTAAAAGTGTGTGAAACTCAGTGGGTCCTCAGTCACTCTTTGCTGCATGGACAAAAGAAGAAGTGAATGACAACATCAAGACGTTTCCAAAGAGTCACGCCACCCAAAGAAGAGGAGAGCAAGGGAAGTCCTGTTGAGGATGCAGGTCTCATCCCCTGGCCAGGACCTTCTTCTGGACGTGTAATGTCCTTTTCCACCCCCAGTGACCTCTCCAAAGCACCTCAAGCTGCAACATCCATCTTCAGAGAGCTGGGACACAAGGGGACCACTCAGGAGTGGTGGCTTGAAGGAAGCGTGGCAGACAGACTTGAAGGGGGACGTCCAGAGCCGGGTGGAGCTCCAGGAGCAAGCAGTGTCCGGCCAGCCAGGCTGAGCAGTGGGGAGCGGGGAGGACGCTGACAGCCACAGTGGGACAGGGCCACAGCTGTGGATGTTCTCGGCCCTGAACCAAGCCCTCGGGTCCAGTCATGGAGCTTGGTGGCATTTAGATGTCTCTTTGTAGCTTTTGCTTTGGCTGATCCTGGCACTTTAGTGGTGGCTTAGGTTGGTCTTGCTAGTCCTGCTCTTGAAGGAGATCCCTTCTGAGCACTCCCTGAAGGAGGTTTCTCTGTCACTGAGAGTGATATGCTGCCGCAGTCCGGCTGCAGCAAAGTAACCGGGGGGGGGGGGGGGGGGGTGAGCAACTTGTGTAGATGGATACAGCAGGAGTGGGAGCCGTTTATTGTAGGACAGGAGGGGTATATATACATTCCACACAGCTTATCTAATTAGCATAAACTAGATACAGCAGTCAACCAATAAGGAATCTCCACACTTAATGGCTCGCTGGCGTCACTTCACAAACCACTCCCTCTGGCAAAATGCCAGGCGCCATCCTGACTTGTCTACAGACCCTAACAATATGCCAGTCAGGCCAGAGCAGGAGTCATGAGTACTTCTCGGGCAGGGACACTGTTTGGAACCCGCAGCTTACCTGAAGAGCGTCTCAGTTATTCCCTGTGGTTATCATTGAAGGACAGGGTGGATCTCATGCTCATATTCAAAAAAAGTTCTTCTTTGATTGATTTCAAGTTACTGATCTACTTTGAGGTTTGGGCTGCCCCCCCATATTTCCTTGAGATCTTGGAATCAAGCTCACATTGTTTTTCATGAAGGCCTGAAGTCCAGAGCAGCCTCCCGCTTGCCCTAGCATGTTGCACAGGCTTGGTCCTCCCACGAGGGCCTGAGGAGTCCCTGGTGGCTTGCAGCCTGGACCTCCCCACCTCCCCAGCTGTGGGCTGGCTGTCCGGTCCCTGGTAAGGGGGAAGGGCAGCCCTGGATGTGTGGATATCCCAAAAGGGCCAGTGCTTTTTCTGATCCATAAGACAGGTGTGTTGGGTCTTGCTTTAGCGAGTGCTCTCCATTTCTCCTCTGCTCTGTAGCCCAGCTGATAGAGAAATGTAGGCTGAGGGGAGCCATCCCGTCCCGGGAGCCTTGGAGACAGGCTATTCCCTAAGCATTCATGTGAGAATGACAAGGGCATCCAGACAGGTCCCTCCTTTTTGTGTGGTCACTGTGGGAAACCTGGCGTTGGACCTGGGGCAGGGCATATCACCCGCCCCAGCATGGAACATCGAATGGAGATCCCTCAGCCTCTCGCCGCCCCGCCACGAGAAGCCGGGTTTCAGTGCATATTCAGGTCAAGTCATTTCCTAGTCACGTCAGCCAGGGCCCTGCCCCTGCCCCGGCCTTAAGAAGCCTTTAAGATTTCTAAGCTCCACAGACAGCTGTTAGAATTTTCTGAGGACTGAAGAGGTCCTCTGTTTCCTGAGCATCTCCCCTTCAGGAGTCATCAGCACTTCTGTGTCCGTATGACCTGCGGCTGGCTGTTTGTAAAGGATGAGGCTGAAACAACTTACTATTGGGAAACCCATCAAAGGCTTAAAGTATCCCAACGTAATTAAGAGAGAATTGAAGTAATTCACAGGATAGAAATAGACATCTTGTGTCAGGTAAGGAAACAGCTGTGTTTTGAGATGGCTTTCAGTCATTGTGACTACCTTGTCCTTTATCTTTTTGGAGGCCGCCAACTTGGAGTCTTTAGCAACTGTGGGTGTCCTGTCCTCCCCCCTCCAGCCTGCGTCATCAGTGAGAACCACAGGTCACACTTGCTCACATGTTCCCAGTCTTCTGACTGCTCGGAGGGTTACAAGAGACAGAAGTGAGGGGTGGACTGTCCCCTAAGTGGGCCATCTCCAGGACAGCCGCGGAGAAGGCAGGAGCGGGGCTCTGCGTCGCCTGTGAACCTTTTACCAAGTCAAAGCAGCGTCTTCTCATGGCGAGGGCTGGAGGGGAAGCGCCTGGGGTTGGGGGCTTAGTACTCACTCAGCTCTGGGCTGTGCTCCCACCCACCCACTTTGAAAGGGTGAAAGAAGACACAGTTACCTCCCGGTAGACCTCCCCCAACTTGTAAGTGTAGAGTTTACACACCTGAGGCTTCTTTGAAACTGCTTTTTCAAAAAAGTTCTTACTGCTCTGTGGGTCCTAGGACGAGTCCCCACTGCCCACCAACTCGTTTTTGTCATGCCTGCCCCAGGAGGCTCCTTTAGAGGGCGAGCCAGTGACCCCACAGAAGGTCTGCTTTGTTTCTGTTGGTTTCTCAGCTGGGGGCTGTCCCCGCTTCCTTACACCCTGGTTTTCCTTCCTAGGAGAGAAGAGGTTGCAGAGGGAGAAGTGTGAGCAGGCTCTGGACACCCCAGAAGACCTGAGGGGTGCTATTCAGCTCCCTGTGTTGAGACAGGGCAAAAGTCCCTACAAGCGTGGCTTGGATGAGGGGGATGTGCACCCCCAGGCCAAGAAGAAGAAGATCGACCTCATTTTTAAGGACGTGCTGGAGGCGTCTCTGGAATCGGCCAAGGTGGAGGCCCACCAGCTGGCACTGAGCACCTCGCTGGTCATCAGGAAAGTCCCCAAGTACCAGGACGATGCCTATGGCCGGTGCGCCACAGCCATGACCCACAGCATGCAGAGCGTCAGCCGGACCCAGGGGGACGGGGACTGGAAGACCCCCCCGGGGGTTGCCAAGGAGCCAGGCCCACTGGAGGATGAGGAAGAGGAGCCTTCGTCGTTCAAGGCCGACAGCCCCGCTGAGGCCTCCCTGGCGTCCGATGCCCACGAGCTGCCCACCACCTCCTTCTGCCCCAACTGTATCCGCCTCAAGAAGAAGGTGCGGGAGCTTCAGGCCGAGCTGGACATGCTGAAGTCTGGGAAGCTCCCAGAGCCCCCCGTGTTACCACCCCAGGTGCTGGAGCTCCCAGAGTTCTCTGACCCCACAGGTAAGCGGGTGTGGACGCCACTGTTGCCGAGGGAGGAGCGCACGGGGCTGCGTGGATGGGGCCGTGGGCCTCTGTCGGAGCTGTCCTCTGGGGACCCCAGGCGCCCTGTCCTCAGGTGCCGATGGCAGGCCCGTCGTGGCTCTGGGACGCTTCACGTGCTGCTCTGTGTCAATAAAAGCCGTTCCGCTGCAGGAGGGGGGTGTGCTGTGTTCTTGACCTTTGCCTTTCTCTGATGGCCCCACCAGGGTGCCACCCCAAAGCCCAGCTTCTCTCCTCCATGCCCCAGCAGGGTGTCCCTCTGGGGAGCCCGCACGCCCCCCAATCTAGATCTGGAACGTGGCCTTGTCCTCTGCCAGGGTCTGCTCTTCCCCTCATGGTCCTGTTTCCCCACCTGGAGTTTTCAGAGGATGGGACTTTGGGGTCCAGGGTGACCAGCTGCATGGCTTTGCCCCTTCTGTGCTGGTGCTTGGATCTCGTGGAGCTAGTTGAGAACCAGGCCGGGTCATCAGTGCCCCTCTGCAGCCGGGTTGGCCTGCGCACGGGCTCCTCGTGCCCCTCAGCCACGCCCCGAGTTCCCAACGAGGTGGTGCAGGTCCTGAAGCTCACATCTGAGCTCAAGCGCGTTCTGACCCTGAAATCACACGGGGCCAGAGCCACGCTGCCTTCATTCCGGGGCAGCAGGCCTCCTCTGACCTCATTAGTGGAGGGCACACAAGTCCCCAGCCCTCCACGGGTGACCTGGGGCTGTTTGGGGTGCCCCAACAGTTTGCTCCTCCAGTTTGTCTTCTCCGTTGATGGGGAACGTTGCAATCTCCGGAGCACCCACGGGTGGGCGGAGGGCGGGCATGACCATCCTGGCTGCTGTGCCTGCCCTTCATGGTGGGCGGTGGCCAAAGGCCACCTGGACCATCCCCAAAGAGGGAGCGTCACCTGTGGGGAACAGAGTGCTTGGAGGTGAACTCCAGGCTGGGGTTCCATCCCTCACAGGCCGCGGTGAGGTCTCGCCTTTAGGCGCTGTTTCCTGTTGCTGTCGGGGAAACCCCCGTTCTTGCCACAGGGTGTAAGTGCTTCTTTCGAATTTGTTTTCCAGCCTCCGAGAGCATGGTCTCTGGCCCCGCCATCATGGAGGACGATGACCAGGAGGTCGACTCGGCCGATGAATCCGTCTCCAACGATATGATGACCACGACCGACGAGCCGTCCAAGATGTCCTCCGCCACCGGACGCCGGATCCGGCGCTTCAAGCAGGAGTGGCTGAAGAAGTTCTGGTTCCTGCGGTACTCCCCGACCCTCAACGAGATGTGGTGCCACGTGTGCCGCCAGTACACGGTGCAGTCCTCCCGCACCTCGGCCTTCATCATCGGCTCCAAGCAGTTCAAGATCCACACCATCAAGCTGCACAGTCAGAGCAACTTGCACAAGAAGTGCCTGCAGCTCTACAAGCTCCGCATGCACCCCGAGAAGACGGAGGAGATGTGCCGCAACATGACCCTGCTCTTCAACACCGCCTACCACCTGGCCCTCGAGGGCAGGCCCTACCTGGACTTCCGGCCGCTGGCCGAGCTGCTGAGGAAGTGCGAGCTCAAGGTGGTGGACCAGTACATGAACGAGGGCGACTGCCAGGTGCTGGTCCACCACATCGCCCGGGCGCTGCGGGAGGACCTGGTGGAGCGCATCCGCCAGTCCCCGTGCCTCAGCATCATCTTGGACGGGCAGAGCGATGACCTGCTGGCCGACACGGTGGCCGTGTACGTCCAGTACACCAGCAGCGACGGGCCCCCGGCCACGGAGTTCCTGTCCCTGCAGGAGCTGGGCTTCTCCAGCACAGAGAGCTACCTCCAGGCGCTGGACCGGGCCTTCACCACCCTGGGCATCCGGCTGCAGGACGAGAAGCCCACGGTCGGCTTGGGCGTGGACGGGGCCAACATCACGGCCAGCCTGCGGGCCAGCATGTTCATGACCATCCGCAAGACGCTGCCCTGGCTGCTGTGCCTGCCCTTCATGGTGCACCGGCCCCACCTGGAGATCCTGGACGCCATCAGCGGGAAGGAGCTGCCCTGCCTGGAGGAGCTGGAGAACAACCTGAAGCAGCTGCTGAGCTTCTACCGCTACTCGCCCCGGCTCCTGTGCGAGCTGCGCTCCACGGCTGCCACCCTCTGCGAGGAGACCGAGTTCCTGGGGGACATCCGGGCCGTGCGCTGGGTCATCGGGGAGCAGAACGTCCTCAACGCCCTCATCAAGGACTACCTGGAGGTGGTGGCCCACCTCAAGGACGTCAGCAGCCAGACGCAGCGGGCGGACGCCTCGGCCATCGCCCTGGCCCTGCTGCAGTTCCTCATGGACTATCAGTCGGTCAAGCTCATCTACTTCCTGCTGGACGTGATCGCCGTCCTCTCGCGCCTGGCCTACGTCTTCCAGGGCGAGTACCTGCTGGTGTCCCAGGTGGACGACAAGATCGAGGAGGCCATCCAGGAGATCAGCCGGCTGGCCGACTCCCCGGGGGAGTACCTCCAGGAGTTCGAGGAGAACTTCCGGGAGAGCTTCAACGGGATCGCCGTGAAGAACCTCAGGGTGGCCGAGGCCAAGTTCCAGTCCATCAGGGAGAAGATCTGTCAGAAGACCCAGGTCATCCTGGCCCAGAGGTTCGACTCCCGCAGCCGGATCTTCGTGAAGGCCTGCCAGGTGTTCGACCTGGCCGCCTGGCCCAGGAGCAGCGAGGAGCTCGTGAGCTACGGCAAGGAGGACATGGTGCAGATATTCGACCACCTGGAGGCCATCCCCACCTTCTCCCGGGACCTCGGCAAGGAGGGGCTGGACCCGCGGGGCAGCCTGCTGATGGAGTGGCGGGAGCTCAAGGCCGATTACTACACCAAAAACGGCTTCAAAGACCTCATCAGCCACGTCTGCAAGTACAAGCAGAGGTTCCCGCTCTTGAACAAGATCATCCAGGTCCTGAAGGTCCTCCCCACGTCCACCGCCTGCTGCGAGAAGGGCCGCAGCGCCCTTCAGAGGGTCCGCAAGAACCACCGCTCCCGCCTGACCCTGGAGCAGCTGAGCGACTTGCTGACCGTCGCGGTCAACGGACCGCCCATCGCCAACTTCGATGCCAAGCGAGCCCTGGACAGCTGGTTTGAGGAGAAGTCGGGCAACAGCTACGCGCTGTCGGCCGAGGTCCTCAGCAGGATGTCGGCCCTGGAGCAGAAGCCGGCGCTGCAGGCCGTGGACCACGGGTCCGAGTTCTACCCAGACATGTAGGAGCCCGGCTGCAGAGTCCACGAAGCTGTTGAATATTTTTTTAATCTATACTCATAAGCTTTGATATATTATATAAATCTATATTATATTATATTATATTATATATATATAAAACCCACACTGAAAATTTTTAAAAAACCAAGGTGACACGTCCACCGGAAGCTACTAGGAGCTTTCAGAAAGGAATGACGTCGGAAACCGACGCTTGTCTGCAACACTTGGCAGCTTGCACCTACGTGGCGACCCGTTTCCACTCACAGAAGCATGTGCTGGGCCCCGCGTGTTCCCACCCGACAGTCACCGACAGCATGAGCTAAATGACGGGTCTCTGTCACGGCCTTTAGGTAGCTCGCTCTGTTCCTGTCTCCGCTGGGGGGTGGAGGGAGTTGGGTTGGGCTTGGGGTTTATGTTCTCGCCATTTTTTCTGTTGGGTTTAATGGTGGGGTTTGGGGGCGTGGCTCTTGGCTTCTTCGTTGACATTCTGGTCCCGCTGAACCGGGTCCCCGACTCCCACATTGTGGGTTGAGGTGTCCTCCTCCCCCACCTAACTTCAGTGTGATGGATTTGATTTACTCATTTCCTTCGCTGTCCCACAAACACAGGTGTTGGTCGTACTGTGAACCCACCCCGCCCCCACCCGTCACCTCTCCTCCCTGGTTGTCCATTCCCTCCTTCCAGGCCCCTGGATTGAAAGACAGAACCCGTTCTATGGAAGGCGGAAGGGCCTTACAGCCGAGCCTGCAATCCAGGGGAAGGGCGAGGCGGGCTTTGGGCATCCCTGTTATCCATGGTGGAGGATAAAATGGTAGAATCCCACTCAGACCCAGGGCCGCTGGGAGACGAAAAGCCAACAAATCCAGACCCCCAACGGGGCGGCGATTTTTGGCTAAAAACAAGTAAAATGAAAAGTATATATTGGATTGACATGGATTATTTATACTCTGTCTTTATAATCATATACTGTTGGGGGGGTATTTTTGTTTTCCTTTAATAATCAAGCACCTGCAAGGTAGCTACGGAGCAGGAGCTGTCAATGCAAGTTGTGCCCTGGGTTACGTGTCACTCCAAGAGCGTCCCCAGGGAGGGGGCCCCGGGCTGGCGCTGTGCTCCGCAGCCCAGCAGGAAGGTCCTGGGAGACTGGGCAGTGCTTCTAGGCCTGTGAGCTTCCTTTTTTTGAACAGGGTAGAGATGTCCCAAAGAAAAGGAGCAAACAGGAAGAGGGACCAGATTCTCAAGGCATCAACTTGGACACACACACACACACACACACACACCACAACCACAATATAAGCTTTAGAAATGGCCACTTGCCCACTCCCTGGGGCAAGCAGCGGTGTAAGTGAGGAGTCTGATCCGCGCTCCTTCAGTCATTTAACTACAGTATACCTCGCAGGGGAGTCTTCAGATATGTGCTGAGCTGTTAAAGTCTCTCTTCATGTCTCCACACCTGATTTGTGCGTATTTTATATGCAGAGATCCTAAGGTGGACGCAGGTCGTATTGGGGGAGGGACGAGGATCTGGACCCCGCGTCCCCGCTCCGCTGTCCCTCCCCATTAGTGGAGGGTGTTGAGATCGGGCCACAGGCAAGGCCCCCCAAGCCCTGGGCCTTCGTGGCTCAGACACTCTGCGACTGTGGTGGCTCCCTTATTCTTGGTTTATCTTGTGTCTGCGGCCTGGTGCCACCGTGAGAACCATAGTGGAAAGGTCATCAACACTGAACGTCACCACCCCTTCCTGGCCCCGCCGGTCCTTCCCCTCACAGATCCTTCCTCTCACCCCCATGGTCTTGGTGCTAAGATAACTTTAGAATCATTGCTGCTAGTCGATAGCTTTTCATTATAAATATATATATATTATATTATATTATATTATATATTATTTTTGAAATGTTTTTGTTTGTTTTCAATGGTGATGTAGCATGTTAAAACAAAACAAAACAGAAAACAAAACTGGGTTCCTCCAACTGTCCCACTGCCGGGCCTCATATGCTGCCTTCTTCAACAATCAATGCACCCTGCCTGGTGACCTTCACCCTGCCCCCCCAGCCGCACACCTCCACCCTCTTCTGAGCAAGGGGAGAGCAGGAAAGGCCCCAAACCCCTCTCAGATGCTTGAAATTCCCTGGTTCCACTCGCCTGCCCCCAATCTCCCTTCACAGCTCCTCCCATCTGGGCCTAACTGGGGTCACCATCAAGGTCAAGTGGGATTCTGTTGCAAAGCACAAGGTCCCTTGTTCCCCAGCTCCTGCTCGGGGACTTCCTGTCTCCTCTTGCACACAGACTACTGTCTGGGGAGCGCCACTGAACATTGCAGAGACCAGGGCTGGTTGGCAAGGCGGCCTCAGGTGCCGGGCAGAAACAGTGGGTGGGCTCCTTTCCTCTGCCAACAGTTGCCTTACCCCTCATTCCCTTGACCCACTGCACGGGGACCCTCTGCCAGGAGGGTCAGACCACTCCTGAGCACCGAGTCAGGGCTGTGACTGTTCCCCCAAGGGCCCATAGCCAGAATGAGCTCAAGTCTTCAGCTGGGGGAAGGATCCCTCAAGCCCATGTCAGTGCCTACCCTGAGTGACCTGGCTCAGGGCTTGGAAGAACTCACTGCCACTAGCAGGACCTGGCAGTAGGAGGTCACACCCTTGCAATGGCTTGAGGCTCTGAGCAGCTGAACCCGTAGGTGGCGGTCAGTCTGTCAGGGGCCTCTCAAACTCAGGTGCTCACAGCTTCCACCAACCCAGCTAGGCCCCGGGCTGTGGCGGACTCTCTGTAGGCCACCGCGCCTTGGGACGGGGGTAACCAGGGAACAACATGGGACATGCCACTGCAGTTCACACGAGGTCTTTTCTCTGCCCAGGTGCTCCCTGGGAGGCTCAGGGCTTCCGTCCCGTGAACCCTGTTTGGGATGATACTTGGTTCTGTCCTAGGCTTGTCCCACTCCTCCCCTCCGGAGATGGGCTCCGGGTGAGGGGGCACTCAAGGTCTGACCCAGGGAACCACATGCTTTACTAGCCCAATACCTTGAACAGGTATAAAAACTGTGGACAGGTGGCCCGCCTCCCAGGCGTGGTCACTGCAGATGAGACAGAGCCCTTGAACTCAGCCCTGGCTTAGGAGGGACCTCCATAGACTGAGAAGGGAGTATGTGTCTAGAGCTGAGACTTATCCTCACTAGGTGGCTGGTTGGAGGTTTTCTTTGGCTCATGAAGTGGGTGGGCAGTGAGGTCATGACTGAGGCCCAGGTTGGTGACCAGTTGTGCCAGGTAGTTGCGCTGCACAGCCTGGGGCCACAGGCCCTCATGATTAAAACAATCTGCTTTTCCTTAGAGACACCCAATGCCATCTAATGTCTGTGAAAGGGGAGCCCCTCACCCCCGTCTGCAGATCCCACCTGGTCAGACACCCCTGGCGGTTCTGCCTGCCTGTTGGAACAGGGAGGCCACCGGAAACAGCAGTCTTTTTTCTTTTTTAATGACTGCCTGTGACATCTTGTGATGCTGGGCACATCCTTATTTCTCCAGCCTCCCTGGGAATGAGAACAGGACCAAGCTCCGGAACCCCGAATGGCCAAGTTCAGGGCTGGGTCCTTGAGTCTGTGGTCGGTGGGCCCCGGGGGTCTCTGCCCTCTGCCCCGCTCCTTGTTTCTGAGTCCAGTTGTCTGCTGAGGCCCCTCCTCTTGCCTTGCTTGGGTGAGCCCTTTCATTTGGAGAAAGGACTTTGTAATTCCATTTATTTGGCGGTGACATCAAGAAACACGTAGTGGGCGGGGGTGGGGGCGTGTGGAAGGCTGAACCTGTCGTGGAGAGACAGAAATGAACACAGATTTGCCCCGCCTGGCCTTGGGCTGGCACCTGTGGGGCTCCAGAGGCAGCCCAGTGGGTCTCTTCTGGAGACCCCCACCCTCTTGCGCTTCCCTCCTCCTGCTCTGGGCACGGGAACTCTGTATCTAGAGCTGCTTTTGGCTTGGGGTCTCATGGGTTCATTTCCAAGTGGCCTGTGCTTCTTGGCCCATGCATCCCACTTTGGCAGAAGGCTCTACCACACTGGCACTCAGGCACACCCTCGGGTGCCTTCAGGAGGCACGTCTGGCCAAAGCAGGCAGGCGGGCCTCTGGAGGCAAGAATGGAGGCTGCCTGGGGCAGTTGAGTCCAGACCCCCTACTGGGTTCCAGACGGTTTGTCAAGAGATGTGGGAAGCCCTTTTCTGCTTGGAGGGAGGTCCTTCTCTTTCCCTCTGTTGGTCAGGGCGCCTCAGTTGAGTGGTTGGAGCTATGGTTTTAAGGAGCCTTTGAGGTCGTCTTTGCATGTTAGCCAGAAAAAGTGCCCTTTGGGGAGAAAAATGGTACGGCCCTCCTCTTCCAGCTGACACTCCTCCATCCATCCACTAGGTGGTATCGCCCTGGAATACCTATGCAATCCAGTCCCCTCGGGAGGCCTGCGTGGAAGCGGGGGTGTGCGTGTACAATACTGACAACCTGTACATTGTATATATGGACATATACGAGGTCTCCACCCAGAGAAGATTAAATCACGTCTATATATCTATAAATATATCCTATATATTTATACATTTCTATGTTTTAAATAGATATAAAAATAGAGTCTATGGAGCTGGAAGAGCAGCGGGAAGCCTGTCGCTGTGTTGTGCCAAGGGAGGGGCAGGTCCTTGGAGGAGGGTGGCCGGTAAGCTCATTGGGCAATTTGCTGGCCGTGGGGCCTCCGACCCCGAGTGTGGGAGAGGAGGGTAGCTGGGTCCCGGCCTTCTCGGTGCACTTTCTCTCCTTTTCTACAGGCTTGGTCTGAGGTTGGAAGGAGACACCCCCCGAGCTCCAGCTGAAGTGCCCCTACCAACCCCCACCCCAAGCCTATGCCTGGCATAGGGTGTGGTCGCTGACCCTGTTGGAGGGACCACTGCCCAAACTTCCCCTACCCTCCCTCAAGGGGAACGGGCAACGTGTGTGGCAATAGGACAGGTGCCCAGGGATGGAGATAGCCCCTCCCCTTAGCCGCCACCGCTGCCCCCTAGAGGCCACGCCTCTGAAGAACAGCCGTGTGCCGGGGTGTGCCTCCTGCGCTGCGCTGGCGTCTGCCAGGAACCTGGAGGTGAAGTGGGCGGCGCGAGCGTCTCCACGCAGCGCCACCCTCTACCCAGGGGCTTTTTGGCCAGAGCAGGGGGCATCTGCTAACAGGGAACGGCGCGAGAGACACATCCACCCACTCATAAATGCAATGGCAACTCGAGTTCAGAAGCAGGGCTTTGGCCCGCCCCCTCTGCGGCGCAGCTGCCGGCTGTACTCAGGACAAGGCTGTTCCCCTCCTCCTGCACGGGGTGCGACCTCCCCCGCCCGTGGTGACAGGTTTCCTTCACATACACTGTTCTGATTCTGTGACTCAAGGCAGAGGCTGAGTGGGGACCCCAGCCCATGCACTTTCTTTGGGCAGGGTGCCGCTCTCAGCCGGTCCCCAGCGCCCATCGTGAGCTGGTGGGCATCTGGGAGCCAGAAGGGCCCTGGTGCGCCTGGCAGCCGACGGAGGGCTGGGCAGCCCCGACAGGAGTCAGGACTCCTTTGCTTCCAGTTTCTCTCCCCTCGAGGTAGAGAGTCTGGGGACCGTTGGGGACCCAGGGCAGCTACCTGCTGCTCACCAGACCTGCCTCTGCCTTTCAGCTCCACGAAGGCACTTCCTTCCTGCCCACACCTCCCGCCCACTCCCTCACCATCCTACCAGCATACCTCAGTCTCCACCAGGCCCCTGGACCACAGTCAGGGACCGGGTCTGTTCTGCCAGTGCCCCCTCCCTGAGCCACACTTGCTGCCAACTGGGTCTCAGAACACTCCAGTGCCTGGCCTCAGAGAGTCCAGGCCTGGCCCAAGCCGTCCTCCCTCTCCAGGGGGTCGCCCAGGGCCAGGGGATGGGCATCCCCAGTAGCAATCCCACAATGCACTGTACCTCAGAGAGAGAGAGCGCCCCGGGGCATCCAGGGGACCAGCCTCTGCACAGAGGAGGACAGCCGGTTACAACACTGGTGACAAGGAGACCCGGGCCAGGCTGCCCTCGGGCGCTCCTCGGTCTTCACTTTGTTTCTCGGGAAGAACCAGCAGTCTGATTCCGTCTTTTTCAGCCCCGTCTCTCTCCCTCTCTCCACCCCACGCTGCTGACGGATTTCATTTCAATCACAAAGGAAAAGTAAAGTGGGGGTGGGGGGGCCCTAGGAGTCTCTTATCACATACATATTAATATGTTAATACTTTCTTTCTTAAAAAAAAAAAAAAAAAACCTCTCGATGTTATTATTTTGCAGACTACGCTTTATAGTACCTGTGTGCCGGGACCTAGAACACTGGATACGAATAGAGCTATGTTGGTTTATCATACTATGTGCGCAGAAACGTCCCTTTTGTCATATTATCCTTGTATGTAAGATGATTGTTAATAAAAGCATTTAAATTTACTCGCGAAGGTCGCATCCCTGTCTCCCTGCCTCCACCCCAGTCTCTGTGTGGCTCCACATGGTCCCCTTCCCAGGGGCTCAGGTGTCGGTGGGGAAGCCGGCCAGCTCCAGGTTGGGAGGAGACCGCCGAGGCCTCTTGGGCACCTTTTGGACCGTAAGTCGCTCTCCCCCATTGGAGCTCACATCCAGTAGGTGACCTGCAGGCCTCCCTCACCAGTGAGGCCTAAGGAAATGGGACCAAAACCACTTGAAATACATAAATGTACCTCACGTACTTATCCCAGAAGACTCTCTGAGGACGTGCACGGCACCATTGCGGTTCAGTGTGACCCGTTTTGCCCTCTGATGCCTTGTATGATTCTCTACTTGCAGGCCTGGTTTGGGGGGAGGGTCTCTCCTCTGCATCTGCCTCCACGGTGGTGTGGTATGGGGGTGGGTGACAGGTGGTGTGGTATGGGGGTGGGTGACAGGTGGTGTGGTATGGGGGTGGGTGACAGGTGGTGTGGTATGGGGTGGGCAATGGGTGTTGTGGTATGGGGTGGGTGATGGGTGGTGTGGTGTGGGGGTGGGTGATGAGTTTTGTGGTATGGGGGTGGATGATGGGGTGGTGTGGTATGGGGGTGGATGATGGGTGTTGTGGTATGGGGGGGTGATGGGTGGTGTGGTATGGGGGTGGGCGATGGATGGTGTGGTATGGGGTGGGCGATGGGTGCTGTGGTATGGGGGTGGGTGATGAGTTTTGTGGTGTGGGGGTGGGTGATGGGGTGGTGTGGCATGGGGGGGTGATGGGTGCTGTGGTATGGGGGTGGGTGATGAGTTTTGTGGTATGGGGGTGGATGATGGATGGTGTGGTATTGGGTGGGCGATGGGTGGTGTGGTATGGGGGTGGGTGATGGGTGGAGTTCCACCCAGATTCTTTTCTTTTTTCTTTTTTTGTGGTGCTGCGGATTAGAACTCAGGGCCTTGTGTGCGAAAGGCAAGTTCTCTACCAGCTGAGCTGTATCTGCAGCCCCCATCCAGATTCTTTCAGGAAGAGGGTGGGCGTCAACTCAGTGAAGACAGCTCTGGAGACCCCAGCCCTCCTGCCCGAGCCTCCCAGCAGCCTCCTGTCAGAGGCCTTCCTTCCTCCCCCTTCTCCTTCTTAGGGTCTGCTCTTTTCCTCTCAGCCCCAAGGGTCCCCCATCCTGTTGGTCATTTAGAGGCCTCTTGTGAAAGCCATTTCATGGTCCCCATGGAATGTTCCAGTTCTCTTCTTCTCCAAAGAGAGCAGAGGACGAAGGAGCAAAGGGGCCCAGCTGTCCACTAACCAGCCCAGTTGGACCGGGGTTGCTGCCCTCTCCAGGCTGCCCAGGGCCCACCACCTCTGCAGCCATTTCTGGAAAGTGTCCGAGTTCCATCACGGGAGCCAAGGGAAGAGGAAAGACCCTGCCCTGGGTCATGAGGCCCGTGGTGAGGGCAAGGTCTGTTCCCCTCCCACCCACCCTCGTCTCCCCAGCTCCCCTCCAAACTCTGGGGACAGTTGCGTTCACCCTGGAGAGGAGGCTCAGGAGACCTGAGGGCTCCACGCGGCAGTTTCTAGAATGATCTTTTGAAAGAAGGAATCCAGTCAACAGCATCCTGTCTGCCTCACCCCCTTCAGGGGCTTCCCTCCGCTCTTGGGGTCCAGAGCAGACTTCTCATCAGACCTCTCAGCCCACCGATGGAGGATTTCTTTGGGGGATGCCAAAGAAGGAGGAGCCACGGGTCTCCATGTCGTTTGAGCCTCTCAGGGATGACGTCAGAGCCCAGGTGGCCTTACCCAGTCCTCGCATCCCTGATAGCGGGTAGCCCCTTTGACCCGGTACTCAGCAAGGACAGGCACGTGTGACTATTTTAGAGAAACTTGCAGTAAGTGCCCTGGAGACTGGCATAGCATGTCCATCACCCCAGCAGGGACAAGCCACCACCGGGCTGTAGTCACATGGTGGCCACTACCAGGCGGTTTCCATGGCGAGGTCCAGCCTGGCTTCCCGCCATCCTCCTCTCAGTAGGCGCCTTCGTCTCTGGCTCGGGAAGTCTGCCCAGGTCCCCGCCAGGGACCGTCCGTGCGGGCTCCCCTGGAGGCAGGAGGAAGGGGAGCTGGGGGCAGTGGTCCAACACTAAGGCACGGTCCCGGCCACCTGTATCTCGTGGCTTTCCCCGCAGGTGTCTGCCCGGGAATGGGACAGAACAGAGGCTCAGGAGCTCCCAAAACGCAGGAGCTTCTGCCTGACTCTAAATATAGAAACTCTTGGCGGGAAATCACCAGGGCCCTCAGCAAAGACGCAGATGAGAAGAGGCTGCGTCGGAGCCTCAGGTGTGTTGCCGACTGTCCGGAGGACCAGGTGGCCCAGGAGGGACCGGAGGGGGGACATGAGCAGATGTGGGTGAGAGGGCAGGGACACAGGACGCGGGTTTGGTGGTTTTCTGCGTGAGCTGGAGGCCGAGGTAGGTGGGGAAGGTAGTTTTTGTCGGTCTGGATCGCAGAATCACCAAGGTCAAAGCCAGAAGGGGCCTTGCTGACCGCTCACCGATCGTCCAAACCCAAGCGATTTCCCAGGGCGTGATGGTGGCCAGGGCGAGTCAGGCCAGGCTGCAGTGTCTTGGCTCCTCACAGGGTGTGTGTGGTGCGCGCACGACCAGGCGTGGTGTCTTAGGGACGTCAGGGGATTGATCCGCTCTGAGTGCCTTTGAGAAGCTCGCCCTCCCTCTTCCTGTTTTTGTTCACATAAACCCAGACTCCTCACTATTAGTTTGGGGCCCAGGTGGCCTGTTTATAACTACCTGGGACACAGTTTATGTGACATTTCAGTACATGGGATAAAACCCACTTACCCCGCTTCATTATGAAGTGCGGATCCTGGTTCTAAGATCTGATCAGGTTTGTCTACAATATAAACTGAGGAGTGAGGTGCACCTGGAGAGAGCACGGCCATCTCAGCGCTAGGAACCATCTCTCCCACTGGAGAAGCTTCAGTTCAAACTGCAGGTCACTGAGCCATTTCTCACTGACTTTAAAGTTCAGGTCCGCCCCTCACTCAGGGCCAGGGCCTCTTGCTCTAGAGACCAGAGCTGCAGTGGCCACCTGGAGGGTCCAGGGTGGCAGGATCCAGGAGTCCCCTTTGTGTGCCTACTACCTGGAGCTCAAGGGCAACCCTGGATGCTCCACGGGGAATGTTAAAGGACACACACACACACACACACACACACACACGAGTACTCTACGTGGTAGCGATTCCGCTCACTCTTAGGTGCATAACTTAAAGAAACTTGTGTGAGGGCACAGGAGAAACCATGGGACTGCTCATAGCAACATTTCCTATAAGAGAAAGAGAAAGATGGAAGGGAGGAGGGAGAAAAGGAAGAATGAAGGAGAGGAAAAAAGAGGGAAAGAGAAAGAGAAAAGGGAGGGAAGGAAAGAAAGGAAAAAGGAAATGAATGAATAAAGGGGAAGTGTCTAAATGTCCACCAACAGAAGAATGGGTGTGATATGTCCACACGATGAATATTATATAGCAGTGAAAAGGAAATGACTAGAATAGCACTGGCCTGCAGAGATGAAGCTCAGAATTTCAGTGGTGAGCAAAAACTGTGTGATGTGATTTTAAAAAGCCATGAAAACCCAGTACTCTACGGTGCTTGGGATGTACAGGTGTATGTAGTGGAAATTATAAAGGAATGCGTGGGATCAGGAAGCCAAGCTCAGGATCCAGGTCTCTTGATAAAGGGGGCTTTGGCTGTAGTTAAGCGTCATTAAACTTGGCAGTGGTCTAAGAGGACTCACTGAATGCCTTTTTTTATGCTTCTAAAATATTAAGTAAAAGGGGGGAGAAAAGAGGTACACGAAGCTGCTCACCCTGTTGGAGAGTCTTTATTTATCACTGCAAGGTTTTTGCTCCAAAGTGCGACACCAGACGTGGGACCACAATGTCTCATGCGTCTTTTTGTGCTTCAATTCATGACGGCCACACACACACACAACAGATTTGACGACAGGAGACACTGAAGGCAAAATCAACAGCACGTGGACGAGGTCTCTTGGGGTGGTCCCCACCCCAGTGTGGCTTAGGCTGCGGCCGCCTTCCCGCCCAGACTCCTTCACATCCCAAAGGAATTGACCCTGGAGAACCCCCCTCACTCTCTCCGCCTCGCTCCGGCAGGACGATTTGTCATCCAACCTGCAGCAAGTCCTGCCTCAGGCTGGAGTGACGGGAGGCAAGACCTTGGCGATCAGGTCCTCAACATGTCCATCCGGATCGGAGAGGTTGACCCCAATTCCTTAATCCCCAGGCCACCTCTGTGGAAGGACCAGGTCCCCCTGTGGGTACCAGTTCAGCTGAAAGGGTCTCGCTGGATCCCCAACTCGGCTTCACGGCCCCCTTAGAAAATGCTCCAAGCAAGGTCCAAGCGCTCCTTTCCAAAATGATCAGACCTGCTCGCGCAGACTCAGCCGCTCATTCGGAAGTAAACTGCAGATGCCGGGTACGAGTCAGCCGGGGTGAAGACGGCCTTCTTATTTGGCAGGTGACATCTGTGGATAATTTAAAATTCACCAAGAGGGAGTTTTGGTGAAAGAGCACAGCAGTGCCGTGGTCTTCTTTTGTTCCTTACATTTCTGTGGAGAGCTGTGGCTCGTCCTTAGTTGGAGAGTATATCAATGTCCTGAATGTGCAGGTCCACTAAGATGACTGGTGTCCTTCCCGCTGACAGTTCCACCAGGTTTGCTCACTGTTCTGCAATCACAGGGTCTCTTTCCAGCTCCTCCCATCCACCCATTCTTCCTTCATTAATTCATTCAACAAACCCGGAGCTCCAGTGGACAGCTCTATCCTGGGCACGTGGTGGATGCTAGTGAATGCCCAGACAAAACCCCCAGAGTTGGCCTTCCTTCTGTACATCCCTGCTGGGCCGGGGGGTGGCTGACACGGAGATGTCCTGTGGTGGAATGCCACTCCCCATCAGGGGCAACCCTTAGTTTGAATTCTGGAAAACTAAACCTTTGGGGTCCAAAGAAATGCATGGAAGACTGTGGGTGGGATGGACACCCAGGGGCCAGGGGTCCTGTCCAGCATCCCTCACATGTCCTGATGGGGGTCCAAGGTAGGTGTATAGGGAAACAAACCCCAGGTTTCCTGATTTTAAGTCCAAACCTAAACTTTTGTTTTTGTTTTTGTAGACTGGAGTAGCAGATGTTACCAAGAACAGAGTGGGCTCAACTCTCACTGACCTGGGGAACATACTGGACTCTGTTTGCCATTCCAAGCAAAGGAGACCGGGGTGGGGTGGACGCTGGGCCTCAGAAACACACCTTAGGGAAACACGGATGCTGCCTCACCTCAAAACACTTGGCAAGGGCAAGGTTCCCCACTATCTGAAAGACTTGCCCATGGAAGAAGGATTAGGGGCTTTTCTGGTTTTCCAGAAAAACAGAAGCTATTTCAGATGCGTTTCTGTTTCTGTATAGAAAGAGCAGATCATGACCAAAGGTTTCAGGTTTGCTCAGATTCTCAGGGAGAGTTGAGAATGGCCGGCCTCGTGGAGGAAGGAGACCCTGATTCCGTCTGGAAACCCTCCTGTAGCTCAGGGAACTGGGGTAGCCCTGAAGTCCAGAGTCTGGAGTTCCTCTAGAAGAGGCAGAATCCATGGTGGTGGAAACAGCTGCGAGGTTCTGGCACTTTCTGAGGGTTTCCACTGCCAACTCGAGGTGAAAGACAGTGATCTAGCGTCAAGATCACGGCTAGATCTGTTTTTAGCCAACAGCTTTTGGACACCGTCTCCTCTGTCACATCCCAGGCAGACAGCTCCCACGACACTGGTCCTGTTTTCCAGACAGCCACGCTGAGGTTCTGAGGTCAGTGATGTCCACAGAGCACCCAGGAGTCCGGTTCCCCGTGAGAGCTACAGCCACTCAGCAGGTGCATTGTTCAGACTGGATCAACAATGGGACATCTGCTGGGGATGACCAGGTCGACCTGCTGGTTATTTACCATGACAGTGGAAGTCCCCAAAACAGAAGGAGGGAGGGAGGCACAACTGGAAAAGAGCTTGTGTCCTTTTTAAAGTTGTCTTCCAACCCTACTTTCGTGTAGCCGTGTAGCCGGGTGCAACAGATCAAGTTCTTTCTTCCCGGAGTGGCTGGAAGGCTGAGCAGGGGGCGGGTCTGTCTCACGGGGTCACTTTGGTGATGCTGGTGGACATGGCAACTAACACTCAGTCAACATGTAGTCCAGGGGACCCGCAGGGGATCCCATGAATACTTTGTGAGGAAAGGGTTCCCCAAGTATCACATAAGCCGATCTGAAGATAAAACAATAAAGTTCTTCAGCTAAAAAAACAACTACACACAATGCCGTCCAAGAGCAGAATCTTAAAAGCACAGATTTTAAAATTAAAATAAATTAAAAACAGAGGATATCTAAGTTCACTCTAAGTTGAGGAGTCCGGCATTGATCTGGGTGCCCCTGGACCATCAAGGGCTGGCTGGAGCTGTCTGGAATGTTGTAGAAGGATCTCTGCAGCACAGTCAGGTGCTGGTTGAAGGTGAAGGCGCCTGGGCGGTGGCCGGGGACACTGATCTGGGACGCCCCCAGGCAGCCGGGGATCTGCTGGTGATTCTTCATGTACCAGTGTCTGAGAACCGCTGGTCCCTGCCTGGGGTGGGAGCTGGCGAAGGTGTCACTCACCCCGATGACCTGATGGATGGGTTGATACGGGACGATTTTCTTTATATTATTTTTCAAAATGCTTTATTTTTAAAAAGTGACCATCTTCTTTGCACCCAGAATTCCTCAGCTAAAGCTTCCCCGCCCCTGGCTCACCTCACCTGCAACACCTGCCTGCGAGGTGCCCCTGGTGCGGGACTCTCTCCATGACACAGATGAGCAGATCTGCCTGCTCAGTGTGGCCCTAACGTCCCATTTCCACACACTGCCTGGCTGGCTTTGTGATTCTTTTTTTTTTTATATAAAAACGGGAGTGCGGTGAGAGGGGAAGGGTCCTGGGCTTTGCAAACACATCTGTTCTGCCTTCTGAGCACAAAGGAGGGCGGGCACAAGGGGAGCTGGCGAGGACCGAGGACCGTGGGGCTGCAGGACCGGGCTGTGCCCCGGGAGGCTGGGCTGGGGGCCCTACAGATGCAGCTGGTGCCACATGGCAATCTGCCTGCGGGGGTTTTTGAGCATCTCCTCCCAGTGGCTGCGCTCCGAGCCAGAGGCATGCAGGCCCAGGCTACAGTGGCCCAGGGCCCAGCTCTGGCCCGCCTCGGCCTGGCTCAGCACCTCCAACTCCACGCTGGACGCCCTCAGCAGGTGGTCGGGCAGCTCGAACATGATCATCTCGTTCCACACGGGGTTGATCTTGTGCTTGGCCCGTTTTGTCTGCTTCTTCTTCAGCTTCTGAGCCTGGTGCTTCAAGGTCACCTTGACAGAGACATCTGAGGAGGGGCAGGGAGGAAAGAGAGACAGAGAGAGGCCAAGTGAGCTCCCGGGGTCCTCTCCACTCGCCCCCTGGGTCATGAGTTCCTTCAACATCTATTAAGTGCCCACCACATGGCGGGCACCGGTCTAGACGTGGGGATCCAGCAAACATGTCTGCCTCTCTAGAACTTTCTCTGAAGCATGGGAAACGGCCGATAGCGGTTGAAGATTCCTTATCCAAAACACTCGGGCCCACCAATGTTTCAGAGCCGGGAGGCTTTTCCGATTTTGTCATATTTGCATAGACATATCTAGATATCTTGGGCATGAGACCCAAGTCTAAACATGAAATTTATTTCAGTTTCATATGCACCTCATACACACAGCCTGAAGGGAATTTTATGCAATTTTTAAAATAATTTTGTGCAGGAACCAAGTTCCATGGTGTAGAATTTTCCACTTGTGCTTAAAGTTTCAGATTTTGGAGCACTTGGTAGTTTGGGTCTTTGGATCCGGGTGCTTACCTATACCATGACTTAGGATGCTGCTCATTGGATGGTCCCTATTGCGGCCTGGTAAGGTGCCACCAGGAGATGGATATGAAGTCACTTGCTCTGAGCCCGTCCATGTAACTTTGTATCTTTAGATCAAAGCAAGTCCAGAACAATGGCTCAGCTAGATTCTAAACTCAGACCAGAAAAGCAAAGCTATCCCCAGGTCTCTGTCCCCTTGAGGGTCCCTCCAAGCCATCTTGTTCATTATTGAGACAGCGGGTCTCCTGCTGCCTGGTGGGGTGCTCCCGCTGCCTGATGGGGTGCTCACCTGTGCTTTCTGCCAGTCTTCCTTTGAGGACTCCAGCTTCCTGTGGAAGGTGAAGGCACATGGCCTGACCCCCACCCGAGGCTCTGTCCAGTAGCGCTGTCCCCCAGGAACCCACCCATAGGTCTCCAGACAGCTCTCCTTATTTCATTAGTCAAGGTTCCGGAGCTAATGTGAGAATAATTGTTACTGTGTATTTATGGCTGTAATTATCACCCCCAGGTGGTGAGTTTGTTATTTCAGCAGAGAGATTTCAGAGACAAAGTGCTGAGCTATAATCGTTCTTACAGAGCTATAAAAGAGGGGGGGGGGCAGAGAACTAACTGGAGGGGACAAGGACAAAGCACTGAACTCTGACCTTGGGCTCCAGAATCTTCCAGCAAGCTCAACCCTTCTGATTTTATTCGCCCAAAATCTTTTGCTCAAAGATTCAGAACACAGTGGCAATTCTATCTTTGTATCCTTCTATAAATAGAGACTTATTTCTATCTTGTTATGAGCACTCGGATCCCAGTTCAGGAATGCCCTGCTAACCTGGGCTGCTCTCCTGCTCTGATAGGTCCCTAAGGCTTGGGATCAGCACTTTGGTCCCCAAGACTCAGGACCTGTGCTGGGGTATCTAGAAGGGAAAAAACAAGGCTTCCAAAATGTTGGAAAGGGGCCTCTGTGGATATGTGGGGCACAGATGCCCTAAGCCTCGGGCCTCAGCCTCACCCACACACCTTCTGCCGTCGCCCACACTCAGCGGGTGTGGGGGGGACAGCTGGCCAAGGCTGAGAACAGAGACTGGGGAGGGCGTAGAGTGCAATGTGGCTGGCGGAGACAGAGGACCCGGCCTTCCCCACAGCACCACCTGCCCCAGGGGTGCGTCCAGCCAGGCCTGGGTTCCCGACAGCCCAGGCGCTCCTCTCCCAGGATAGAGGCTGATTGCTGTCCTGATAGATCGCCAAGGTCGGGAGCCCCGGGTAGCTCCTACCGGGCCCAGGAATGAATGGATGTGGACTCCAAGAAGTGTGTCCTTCAAAATTAGTTAGCCCTTTAGGTGGAGGCTACATCTGAGGACGACTTGGAGGGACATGTAGGAGGATGCAGGCAGCCAGGGCAAGATGGCGAGGGAGGAGGCCGGGGGCAGGGCCGGAACAAAGGAGCACAGAGAGGGTCTTCTGATGAGGTCACCTCCCTGATTGATGAAAGTGCTTGTGGACACAAGCGGGGACCCAATCAGACAGACACTTCCATACTCATGCCTCTAAGTGGGATCCAAAAGAAAAACGGAGACAGACACATGGACAGGGGTGGGGGGCGCCAATCAATAATAGTGAGGAGCACATGGACAGGGGAGGAGGCTGGCCCGGAGGACACTCCAGAGACCATAAAAAGAACAGGTCAAAGCTCCCACACCAGACTCCCGGCTCCAGGGCCCCTTCTCTTTGGAGAAGTCTGTCTCTGTGGCTTTTGCAATAGACCTGCTGCTTGTTCGTCATCTCTGGGTCCTGTTCTTTTTATTGGGGTGGGGGGAGGGTTCCAGGGATTGAACTCAGGGGCACTTGACCACTGGGCCACATCCCCAGCCCTGCTTTGTGCTTTATTTAGAGACAGGTCTCACTGGTTGCTTAGGGCCTCACTAATCTGTAGAGGCTGGCTTTGAACTCGCGATCCTCCTGCCTCAGCCTCCTGGGCTGCTAGGATTACAGGCGTGGGCCACGGCGCCTGGCTTCTGCGTCTTGCTCAATTCTTTGCTGAGCGAAGACACTGTACCCAGCACCCCTAGACGGTAACGAATTGAGAACTGTGCTCCTGTTCTGCCTTCCTGCGTTCCGTCCCCATTTCCCCCGGTGCCCCCACCTACACACCCCCGGTGGCAGCCTCGGCCTCCCCCAGCCTTACCCTTCCCCAGCAGCTCCCGGGCCTGGCTGGAGTGCAGGTTCTTGGCTTTGATCAGCACCACCAGGAGGCGGTTGGCGGCCGGGAGGTAGCTGATGGACAGGAGGACCTCTCCAGCTCCTGCGGACGGCTCCTGCGACACAAGGGGGCATGCGGGAAGGGGTCACTCTTGGCAGTGACCTCTGGCCCAGCCACCACTGCAGAGGCCGGGGTCACTGTGGACTGGAATCCCACAGGCGTCCTGCAGCCTCTCCTGCGGTCGGGAATGTGAGTCATAAAGTCAGTGCCCCACAGGTGCGACTCCATCGACGTCCAGGCCCAACCTACCCCAGAGCAGAGCTACCACAGGGACAAAGCCCCCCCCCCCAGTTCCTGGGGTGCCTCTGGAGAAGGTTTAGGGCTCCCGGGAACACAGTCTGAGAGTCACTCGGTGACAGTGGGGCTGGTGGGCAGCAGGGCGTTGGTCTTCCGTTTCTTCATTTGAAAAGATGACAGCAGCCGACCCCGCAGGCCGGGAGACCATAAGGGAAATAAAAAGAGGTCAGTGCGACCCCAGGCTCATGGTGTGGGAAATACCCCGGGGACGATGGGCCAGGGACGCACTTCAGAGGGGACCCAGGTGCTCCCAGGAAGCATGGGAACCCACGGGTCCTGCAAAAGCAGCTTCCCAAGTCTCCGGGAAAGGCCTGGGAGGGCTTGCTGGGAATTTCAGCAAAGAAGGGCCCCTGCCAGGAGGTGGGGCTGTGGTGACAATGCCAGCCCGGGAGCTGGCAGGGAGGAGAGGGCGGGGTGGCAGGGCCAGCCAGGCACCAAGGCTCTATTTGAGCAGAAAGCAGGTGGCCTTTCCTCAAGATCCCCAGGGCGGCTGCCAGGCAGAGGAGGGGGGTGAGGGTTCTGGGAGGGAACAGGGGGCCAGACGCACCCCAGGTGGCGTGACTCTCCCTGCCCCCTCCCCTCCAGCTTCGGGGCAGCTCAGGGAGGCACCGGCTGGGTTAGCAGCCGTCAGAGCACCTGGGCTTGTCCCTCACCCTCAGCACACATGGGGACGTCTGCCATCTCCCGGGACATGGGCTCAGGGGGTGGGAATCAGCCTCCTCTGCTCACTGTGACCTCTGCAGCCAGGGGCTGCCCGTCACCAGGTGACACCACGCCTATGGTTCATGACAGAGAGCCGCTCCTCTACTCACCCACCCGCGAGAGGCTGAGAAAGTTGTTTGGCTTCTCCAAAAGTGGGTTCCCTTGCCAGAGACACAGGGGCGGGGCCCGTTTAGCAAGCGTGCATAAAGCACCCACTATGTTCTCAATGCCACGATTAAAACACAGTCAGCCTCGGGGGAGCCTGCATCTCATATGGGAGGAGGCAGGAAGGATGAGGGGGTAACCTGGGGCGGGGCCCAGTGCCGCTGGGAGGAGGAGGGCCAGGGATGAAGTGAGAACACGGGTGTGGCAAGTCCTCACTAAAGGTCACAAACGATGACTCTCACGACCTCTGTCCAGACTCCCCTTCTTAACAACCCAGAGCGAAGCTCCGTGAGGCTGGGAGGACAACTCCAGAGTCAGCCTGGGCCTGAGTTCCAGTCCTCCCACTTCCTCCCTGGGTGGCCTTAGGCAAGTTGCTAAACCTTGCTGGGCCTTCATTTCCTCATCAGTAAAATGGAAATAGGATCATTTCTACCTGATGGTGTCAGGAGGATTTTGTTTTTCTTCTTTCAGTGCTGGGGACTGAACCCAGAGGCACTTTACCACCAAGCTACATCTCCAACCTTTTTCTTTTTAAGTTTTGAAAATCAAGTCTTACTAAACTAATGAGGCTGCCCTGGAACTTGAGATCCTCCTGCCTCGGCCTCCTGAGTCGCTGGGACCCCATGTGCAGCACCCCAGCCAGGTTTTAAAGATTTAATCCCCTCAGATTCATAGCAGCACCTGGAACCCACCACGCACGAGGGACTGTCTGCTGTGGCTGCGGTCATTGATTCTTGTGGAAGAGCAATCAGTACTTGCTCAGCTGAACAGGGGAGCCTTATTTTTGGGTGAACAGGAGGCAGCTGGGCTTGGGGGAGCTCTCCACCTGCAGACTCAGATCCCCTGTCTTGGGTCACACTTTCCGCTCAGCACGACCCCACTGTGATCAGTCATGTGACAAAATGACTTGGGAACCTTCGCAAAGACCTGAATCTCAGCCAGTAACATTTGTGAAACCCTCCCCGTGTGCTCTGGGCCCTAAGGTCACCACGCATCCCCAGCACTTGGCACTTAAACGTCACAAGAAAACTTCAAAGGGAAGAGGCCCCATCCATCCTGCACAACCCTCAAAGGAAGCTGATCTTGTCCCGCTTCAGGCCCAAGAGCCTGGTGCTCGAGGCCAGGCGGCTCGCGGGCCTGGCTCTGGCTAGGAAGTAGCCCAAGGACTCGGAGGAGGCCTGGTCAGCAAGGGAAGGCCAAGCCCGAAACCCGCAGAGCTGGCCTCCTGCGTGGACAGGCGGCCCCTGCGAGGCCCGGGGACTGTGGGCTCCTGGCCAGGGGCAGCAGAGTTCTCCCAGGGTGGGCTGGGGACAGATCTCCCAACTGAAGATCACCTACAGGGTCCAGGGTGGCCTGGGCTGTAGCCCCAGGTGACGGTGCTTCATCCCACTCGTCCCCAAGACCAGGGGAAGCTGCGCTACTTTCTGGTGTGTAGGTAGCCTGGCCCTGCCCGCCGTCTGCACTGCAGCCGGAGGCTCCATCAGAGACTGCCCCCGAGTCCCTGGTGACAACAATGACCCTCTCTTCCTCTCCTGGTCTCTCCACCTCCTCTTCCTCTCGGGCTCTCGATGAATCACTCAAGGCCGCCCTTGGAGTGGGACTCACTGAGGTCCTCAATGACGCACCTACCGCTCTGGGCCCCGCGTCTTCCGGCCAGACCTGGAGCGCGGCTGGCACCTCCGTTAACCCATTCTGGCCCAGAAAAGTAAAACTGGGTGGGAACAACCCCCGGCTTCCACCACTGGGTTCATCAGCCAGAACCCTGCACCTGCACCTGCAAGGGTGGGCGCTGGCCGGCCTGGCCTGGGGCTCTGCTTCACACACCCGAAGAGGACTATTCTAGAATATTCTAATGATCAGCAGTGATGATTATCCGGATGCATCAGCAGACTCCTCTGTGGTATGGCCTGGTCCCCGGCCCCTGGCATGGGGCAGGGTGCCCTGTGGGAGCAGGGCAGGGCGTTTGTGGCATGAATGAGAGCTACTGCTCTTCTAGGGGACCGGAGAGAAGAAAGGACAGGGCCCGAGACTCTCCTAGACGGCTGACTTTCAGCCCTTTGGGGCGGTAACAAAGCCTCAGAGCCCAGCGGGGGACCCTGTGTGTCTCCAGAGAAAGCAGTCGACTAGCTTAATAAATAGGAGTGTCACATCTCCTCCTGAGGCCCCGTCTGTGATTCCACACAAGTCCCAAATCACACGCTAATTAGAGAGAGTGCCTTGAAGCAGCCCGCTCCATTTGAGAGAGTGTGGTGGGGATCTTTCTGTCAGTTTCCTCAGCCTGGGAGGAAAGAAGGTGGAGCAAAGAGGAGGGTCGTCAGCGGGAGAGGGTGGGAGAGGGTGGGAGGTGGCAGTGGCCCGGCTCTCTCGCCTGCGGTCAGGTGTCTGTCAGGGAAGGCGCCTGCGGGTCACACCTCGTGCTTGTCGGGTGCCCGCGTGGCTGGTGACGTTGCAGGATTCACAGCTGGAAAGGCCCAGCTGGAGGCTGAGCTGTGCTGGGTCCTGCCTGGGTGACCCGGGCAGTTCCCTATCCCTCGGTTGGTTGATCTGGGAGGTCAGAGGGGGACCTGGACCCTGCGGTGCTCAGACATAGCAGCCAGACGACCAGATTCAGCACCGCAGCAGCAAGCCCGCGAGGGAGGCCCCGATGGTGACCTCTGGGGCTTCGCGGGCCTCACAGTCTCTACCCAGTGCAGCAGATCCCTGGTGGGGACCTTGACCCGGGGCCCTAAGTTCCCTCCACTGCTCCCCAGCCCTGCCCGGCCCTGACCCCCTGCTGCCCGGGCCTGTGGGGAAGATGGTTTCCTCTCCCAGGAGTCCCTCTGCAAGGTGCTGGCCTCTCAGCCCAGCGCGAACACCACTTCACACAGCCCTTCCAGAACTCTCCATCAGACACCGTGGTCAGCCTCCTCCCAGATGTCCCAGGATTCAACACACGTCAGAGATCCTTGTCCTTGTCATCGTCAGGGGTCTGTGCCAGTCCGCCCACCTCCCTTTGTGTTCCTTTCCCCATGGTGCCTGGCATATAGTAGGTGCTCAAGAAACATCACTGGATTTCAATGGGGATGACACTGTGCTTTCTTTCCTTGACGTCAGGGGCGTCTTTACCCTGGGCATCGGGCTGCCCTGTTCAAGACCCGACTGGGAAGGTCTCTGGAGCTTGTCCCATCAGCTCCGCCCAGACCTCAGCCCTCAGCCCTCCCGGCTCCACTGACCAGCACTACCCTCCGACTGAGGCGGCCCTACCTTAGCCGAGGTCTTCAGCTCGCCCCACTGGGCGGCCCCCAGAGGCACAGACACCCCGTCCAGGCCCAGGCGGAGCTCCCCGGACACACTGTGGCGGGAGAAGCGGTCGCAGGTCCTAAGGGTCAGCGTCAGGGTGGCCGTGGGGAGCTCCTCCTCAGCCAGGGGGAGCACCAGGCCCTCCTCCCAGGTGGTGAGCAGCTGCCGCTTCCTCAGGGCCGTCTGGGCCTCCACGGAGCCGGTCCTGTTGGCCACACTGCCTTGGACATAGCAGTCACAGCCGCCGTCGTGGTCACTGGTCACAGCTGCAGGCAAGACAGAGCAACCTGGGCCTGGGACTTACCAGGGACTGGGGAGGGGGGCAGCGGGGCCCTAATTAGGGCTGTGGAATCCAGAGTAACGGCCATGACCTTGGGTGCCTGAAAGACCTCGGAGCTGACCACCCTGGAGACTGCAGCCCTGCCCAGCAGCAAGATATTTAGAAAAAGGAGGCCATCTGGGGAGGCCCACGGCAGCACACGCTAGCCTTCCTGGGACAACAGTGACAAGAGTGACAAGAGTCAGTACGTCCTGGGGCCCTTCTGGTCTCAAGATTCTGAGATTTCCCCAAGGCGCCAGGGCTGACTTTATTAGTGCTACTGCTGAAACTGTGATTCATTTGTTCTGTACTTTAAATATTTACCACAGAAGCGCTTGTGGTGTGAATCACTTGGCTGCTGCCTCATGAATGTTTTATGTTTTGAACCTTGGTGTTTCTAATGCATTGCACAACGTGATCATGTCAGCTTTCCGTTACTATAACACATGCCTGAGGTAGTCAACTTATAAAGAAAAAGGGTTTATTCAGGCTCACAGTTTGAGAGGTTCCAATCCATGACCCCATTGCTTTTAGGCCTGTGGGGAGAAAGCACATCATGGCAGAAGCGTGTGGCTGAGGAAACTGAGTCACCTCACAGCCAGGAAGCTAACAAGAGCAAGAGGAAGTATCAGGGTCCCACAGTTCTCTTTGAGAACCTACCCCCAATAACCTAAAAGCCTCCCTCTAGGCCCCGCCTCCTAAATGCTCCACTCTCCCCACAGCGCTGCCTTGAGGAACAAGCCTGTACCACATCAGCCTTTGGGAAAAACCCTTGAGATCCAAATCACAGCCTTCCCGTGAATCACTCAGCAGATGTTTTTTAATACATAATTGTGTGGATTTACCCCCAAATTCCCCCTGGTGGTACTCTGATAACTGGTTCTTTCATGAGAGATTGGAAAGTGGAAACGGATTTCGCAGGATAAGAACATGAAGAACGAAGGTGATGCAGCCTAACAGAGCTTCCTCCTGGGCCTTCAGGGAGGGCTAGGCCTGCCTCTGCCACTGGCTACTAGGAACTTTCCTGAACAAGTCATAGGGGTTGCTTGACCTCAGTTTCCCAACCTGTGAAATGGGACTGTCATGAAGACCAGATGTATTAAAGTATACAAAAGTGCTGAGAATCCAAAAGACATCAAAGAGGAAAAACACTCGCTCAGAAAAAGGGAACTAGGGGCTGAGGGTATAGCTCAGGGCTCTCTGAGTACCTGGGGGAGCTTGGCTTTGATCTCAAGCAGGAGAAACGAAACAACCTGTTATGGCTTGACTAAAAAGTCCTCCAAAGACCAGATGTTGGAGGTTGGTCCCCAGCTGATGGTGCTCCTGGGAGGTGGTGGGACCTTTCGGAGGGGGGCCTAGGGGAAGGAAGCTAGGCTGTGGGAGGGTGCCCTTCACGGGGCTACTGAGACCCCAGCCTCTTCCTCTCTGTCTTTGCTGCCTTCCTGCCATGGTCACAGCGTATTGCCACCACATGCTCCCTGCTATGGTGCTCTGCCTGGCCACAGGCCCCGGCAACAGGGCCCAGCGAGCACAAGTGACACTTCTGAAACCGTGAGCCAAAGTAAATCTTCCTTCCTTTGATGCTGAGTCTCAGTGATAGAAAGATAAACAGAAAAAAGGAAATCAAACACAGAGGCCCCATTTATCTGGTCCCGTTGACAGCCCTGGTTTCTTGGCAAAGTCTTAGTATTGTTTGCTGATGGCAGAGGAGACTCTCAGGGGAGGGTCACCAAGCCCATGTGGCCCCTCAGGGACACTGCTGGGTCCTGAAGTGCAGCAACTTTTCCCACCCCCTGAAGACCCTCTGCATCCAGCACGGAGCCCTGGGCCCTGTCAAGGCACCTAGGGCAGAGACAGCGATTCCCCAGCTCACTTCCCGGCCTGGGCAGCGGCTGGCCGCGCGTCCTAGGCTCCTCTGCCGTGAGCTGGGCGTGTGACTGGGTTCCAACCAGCGGGGCCTGAGCAGAAGTGGCGAGTGCCACACCCCGGGTGAGGCTGTGCCCGCCCTGGGTCTCCTCCTCCCCCGTGGGCTCCCCAGGACCCCTCCCTCGGGGGCCCAGGAAGTCAGGTGACAGGTACCTTCCAGGCGGGTCACGAGCAGCTCGGCCTTGCGCTGGTCGTAGTCCAGGCAGTAGTGCAGCTTGGGGGCCTGGTTCCAGCTGGCAGCCTTCTCTGGGTTCCAGGTCTCCATGACGCACACGTCCTCCACCACGCCTGCAGGACAGTCAGGGCCGTCACTGCCCCACACGGGCACCCTTCCCTCACCACTCCTCTCTCATCTCTGCCACCCCAGCCACAGACCCCAGCCCGAAGCTTCCTAAAGTTCAATGCACCAAGGCAACCCCGGCGGTCGGTCCTGGGCTTTGCGTTCCAGGGGACTGTCATAGTTCAGCAACCGAGATGTGGGTTTTGCTGTCAGACAGGAGCTGTTTCGGAACAACCAGGTGAACTTGGACAAGGTGCCGGACTTCTCTGAACCTCGGTTTCTCATCTTTATGATGGGGACGGTAAGGGTTTCTCTTTCCTAGAGTTACTATGCACATTAAATGGAATAAAGCAGGGGACGTTCTTAGCCCAGCGCCTGGTCCACGGTGAGCTTTCGGTAAAGATAAGTGGCACAGCCTGTGTGCCTGGTGGCCGCGTGGGAGGCTGAGCAGCCCTGGCCTACCTGGCTCCGCCCCCCCAGCTGGCTCCGCCTCTCCCACAGAGCCGGGTGCCTTCTCCCCAGGAGCTCACAGATGGAGATAGACATCAGGGCCAAGGTAAAGGTGGTGGATTTGACTTTGATGCATGTCCAATAAACGTTTGATGAGTGAAGAGGGAACCGTATCTTTAATCTAGAAGATCCTAAACCCACAACTATTGCTCTCTCTGCCCCTTACTTAAACAGGAGCCTAACATCGGGAAGATTCTCATGAGTCAGACATAATACAAAAATTAAAAGGACCCAGTAGCTCTGGGAGACTCTATTTTAAGTAAACCAGAGTTTAAGTTGGTTCTCAGAACTCACTCAGAGGGTAGAACTGCAGAGGTCTGCTAATCTCCCAAGTGGCCCATTAGTGTCCTGCAAGTAGAAAGAAATTTCCCTAGTGCTTCTGGGATGAGCCAGCTGACCAGGGTGTGACCAACGTGTAAAGCGAGACACAGGTGTAAGTAGGGCCACCTTAGCACCCAGGGCTCTTAGCTCTCAGGCAGCCTCAGCCCTCGGCATCAGAACCAGCCTCCACTGAGGGTGACAGGGTCCTGTTCAGATGCAGTAACTGGGGTGACTCTACTACTGTCCCTCCCTGCCTCCAGGGACCACAAAGCCAGCACCTCCTACAAATGCAGATGGGGACTCGGCTTCAAGAAGTGAGACTTTGAGCTCTACAGTGGGTGATGGGTGGCCTGGCTGGTGGAGTCAATAGGCTCAGCACATCATGGGGACAGTGGCTGAAAGATCTGGTGGCCCCGCTATGCTCCTTCACCTCTGGTCAATGTCTGCCCAATCAGCCGAGTCTCAGTAGGTTTCTGTGCAACATAACTAAGCTGTGCCTTCGGGGGCAGCCAAGAGGAGGCAGAATGAATGAATGAATCCTGAATTCTGCAAAGTAAGGCCTGGCTTGGCTCTCCCTCTCTCGTGGGCGGAGTGTCCAGTCCTGGCTTCATCCAAGCTTTGAGCAATCAGAGGCTCCCAGGAGAGGGGGCTATGACTACACCGATCACCCCAAGAGTCTTCCTGCAAATCTCTCCCGCCCCCACCTTGAGGTCTCAAGGCTGCAGCAGGTCTGCTTTTAGCCCCTGGAGGCTTAGGCCAGCCAGGATAGCCTGTCCACACTGCGGGCGCTGCGGGGATCCGATCCTGAAACGCCAGGCTGGTTCCTCACTGTGCTTCTGGGTGGGCCAGGAAGGGGCACCTGTCCACTGGCCAGTGTGGGTCCAGTTGAATCAGGGTGGGGTCAGTGTCAAAGGCTTTAGGCTGCTTCTTCTTCCGCCACCTCCCGCACTGACCTCACAGAGCAAAACTCAGGCCATGTGTGACAGCCATCCCCTGGTTTTAGCTTCTCCTCCCTAAAAAGCTTCCGCTCTCCCTTGGGATGGGGACTGGCCTCTGCTTCATATGTCACCCCAGGGCCCGTGCCAGCCACAGCCACCTTCAGATATTGTGTTCTTGATGTTGACAAATGAAAAGGAGAACAGAAAGAGGAACAGAAACGGTGTTTCGATTCTGTCTTTGTGCAGAGGCCCTGATTAAAGCGTCTGAGAGGCATTATCATATTCACACTTGACAACAGCCTAACAGGAAGAAAATAATATCATCTCATTTTCATAGAGGAGGAAACTGAGGCCCAGAGAGGTTAGCAGCATGATCAATGCCACACAGCAAGTATATAAAAGGACAGAGGATTCAAGCCATGACTTTGAAGCCAGTGGTTTTAACTGTGATTCTTTATCCCCTCTCCATAGTTGCCCACATGTGACTTGAAAGGGACGCTCTGTTTCCCAGTGCAGAGCTGGAGGCTGTGGGGAAATAGCACAGAGGCATTCAGCAGGAATCAAAGGCCAACTCAGAGGCCCTGTGCCCACTGTCAAGTACAGCAACACTGGGGCTTTTGGACAGGCAGGCCATGCCCGGCATCCACAGAGCCGGTGACAGACTCCACTGCCCGCTGCCCACATAGCGGGGCTGGGGATCCCTACCATTCTGAGGAAGGATGAACAGCTCCTCCGTGACCTGCCTCTTGAGGCGACTGTCACTGGGGGCAGGGGGACTGGCAGGCACAGCAGGCTCCTCTGTGGTCCCCAGTGTGTAGTCTGCGTAGTTGATGACTTCCGGAGCTGTCACCGCAGGCCTGGGGCCATAGATGTCTGGGAACTTGAGAAGAGGGCGAGGCTGGACCGGCTCCGTGGATTTTTTAACGTTGAACTGCAGCACAAATCACTCTGGTTAGCCAGCAGGGGGACTGGCCTGGCGTCCACCCATGGAAGAAAGTAGTGGTGACCCGACCCTTTACAGGAGCCAGGGAGAGATTTGGAATCCCTCTACTCCCAAGAGCACAGCCTGCAAAATCATACCACCGGAGCCCACAGGCCGCTGGTCACGCCAGGGTCCACTGAGATGTGGGCTCGGATCATCCGCCCCTTCCCCGCCCATCGGCTGCCTGTGGGTCTGTGGCTCTGCCCCTGGTGCTCTCAGGCCCCTTCTGGGGTCCTCCCTCTGCTCCTCTCGCCTGTGCCCCTGGCCTCCCGCTCTCTCCCTCCATCTCTACCTTATTCTTCCGTTCCTCCCCTTCCCACCCCGTAGCTCAGGAATGTGCAGGCTCCCACCACCCAGAACAAACCCGGGCTCCTCCCTGAGACCACAAGAGCTTGCCTGGACCGTGCCCACCCCGACCTTGGCTCACTCCAGCCACGAGCTCCCTGCTCTTCAAACAGGATGGACCTCCTCCTGGTCAGGCTTCCGTCCCGGGTCTTGTTCCCCAAACTGGCTACCTGCACTTCCACCGGCTCCATCTCCTACCTGAAGCCTGGTCCTCAGATCTAAACCACGCCCCTCCGGTGTAAACCACGCCCCTCCAGTCTAAACCACGCCCTCCAGTCTAACCACGCCCCTCCTGCCTAAATCACGCCCCTCCGGTGTAAACCACGCCCTCAGGCCTGCGGCCCTCCCCACCACACCCCGCCCTTTGGTCCACAGCTTTGTGCCCTCCCCACTCCGTGTTGGTCGCGGGCAGCGGTCGGTGGGTCTCTCGCACCAGCATGTGAATTCCGGGAGCATAGGGACCATGCCTTGCCAGGCTCCTGACCCCTCCACGGGAGCTGGGTCAGTCTGGGCAGGTCAGTTTGCCTTTCTGGGCTGTCACTTAAGTGACTGGTGATTTTCCTGCTTATCTCGCTCCTCGTTCTGAGCCACTTCTTCAGGCTGGAAAGATGCACGAAGTACCCGTCCCGCGTCGCCCCACTTACAAGTGAGTCAGGGAACCGATCAGAAGCGACAGAAGTAAATACCAAGTCTTTCTGGCCATTCAGGACCACAGTAGAGCAGCGGGCCAGCGGGACATGTGTAGGTGACCACAGAGAGAGAGGGCAGGAGTGCATCGCTGCAGGGCAGCCCGTCCCTGGGAGGCCGGTCAGGGCTGCGGCATCGGCAAGGGCCCAGGGGGCTAGACCTTGAAGGAGAGGGAGCTGGAAGGCAGAGGGGTGGGGAGGGCTGTGCCCTGACACCAGGCAGCCAGGGCCCCAGGGGACACCAGAGCAAGGCCTAATGCTCCCAGGTCCTTTACCCTCCACAGTCACGTCTGCCTCGGACATCTCACCAAAGTCTGACTTCCATTTATTATAACACTTCACAGCAGGGAAACTGAGGCCCGGGGACGCCCAGGGTCATCCAGCTGCTAGTGCTGGGGACGATGGAGCCTCCAGATGGCGTGACCAGATTTCATGTCACTTCCCTGCGGACCTCCAGTCCTGGGAACTAAGAGGCACTCGCAGCACCCGGGGGTCCCAGCCAGGCCACTCCCCACTGTTCAACAGTGTGAAAGGGCCGCAGAGGCTGCTGGGCCGCTGTGCTGCTGCCTCAGAGTCACCCTGTCACTTGTTGGGACCACATGAGGGCCCTTAGGGAGGTCTGGGAAGCGGTTTTGTGTTTGGTCTTTATTTCTTCCCTGTGGCTTTGGGGCAGGGCTGGCCTTCACCCCCAGCTTGACCCCCTGGGGCTGGGCCTGCATTTTCAGTGGGGCGCTCACAGCTGGGCTCGGTTCAGGGTGAGGTTCACTCCAGGCTTTAGAGACCCAGGGTCTGCCTTCCTCCTCCTCAGGGGGCCTCAATTCCTGTGTCCCTGATAACCTCAGAAGCCTGCTACAGGGGCTTAGAGTGCAGCCCTGGAGCAAAAGACAGGTGCTTTTCGGTGGCCCATAATGTCCACTGTGTCCCCCTCCCCCACACCATCACTGGGTGGTCTAGGCTCCGCCCACCCCCAGCTCCTGGGGTGAGTTTTGTCTGTTCTGATCCTGTCAGCTCTTGGCATGATCTTGGTGGCTTTTTCTGGCCTGTGGGGAGGCACCTGTCCTGGGGAAGCCCACCCACATGGAATGTAAGGACCAAGGACACGCATTCCGCGGCCTAGAGGAACTGGCAGAAGCGCGGGGCTCTGTCTTGGGACTGTAAGGCGAGTTGGCCTTAGCCCAAGGCAGCATGGTAGCCAGCCGTGTGCAGAGACGGAACGAACTTCATCCCCAGCGTGACCTCATGGGGCCTCCCCTGCCCTTCAAGTCACGTGAGCAGCGTCCTTCTTGTTGGTTGAGCTGGTCTGAGTTCTGTGCCTTGTAGCCCAAGTACATTCTAGATGGATGCTGTGCTTTTCCACCAGCGAGTGAACCCGGGGCCCTTAACCCCTGGGCCACATCCTCGGCCCTTTTTCCAATTTATCTAGAGACAGGGTCTTGCTGTGTTGCTTAGGGCCTCACTAAGTTGCTGAGGCCGGGTTCAAACCTGTGATCCTCCTGCCTCAGCCTCCTGAGCCTCTGGGATTCCAGGTGTGCCCCAGGCCCCCAAGCATGCATTGCATTCTGACAAGTATCACGGAGACCGTGACCCTGCGTAAACTAGCCTGGGGGTCCTCCGTCCTCTCCGGAGTCTCTCTGCCTCCAGGCGAGGCCTCCTCACTCGCTGTTTATGTTCTCCTGCGGCAATGGCTGCCCTCAGCTGAAGATGACACACAGCCCCTGCCCAGGCCAGGAGCAGGGCTGCTCACAGTGACATGAATCTGTTCAAGGATCAAAAGCACCAGCTGATTACCTCTCTCGCTCCTTCTCTTGGAGTCTTATTTATTGCTTTTCCAAGCCCTGATTCCACCGCATCCTCAAATGCACCTTAAATAGCTGCAGTATCCAAGAAGCAGAGGTTTGGAAGCCGAGGGAGAGCCGGGAGAGGGTGGTAGCTGGGGGAAGGACATCTGGAGGGAAGGGGGCGGGGAGCAGGGCCCCAGAGAAAGAGCCTGTGGAGCCTGGCTGTGGGTGAAGGAGGGGCAGGCGGGCTTCGGACCAGGGATTCCGAGTCCGCCTGTCCTGAGCCCAGGGAAGAGGACCTGGGAAACGGATGCAGAAAGACAGGGAAGGTTTCCAGCAAGGACTGGCCTTGAGCAAGTGCTCCCACAGCAGCCGGGCGAAGCGCGTCCTCCCGTGGTGCAGGCCCCCTCGCAGGCCTCCCTGGGGTCCCCAGCCTCTCCTGTCTCTGGGGCCTCTGGCCACTGGCTCCCCCCACCGTGGCCAGCTCTGCACGGAGCAGTTTCAGGTGGCCCAGCACAGTGCCCGACAGGCCCACCCATGCGCCTCCCAGTCACGCTTCTCGTCCTGGGGCTTCCCCGTGGCTGCTAAGGTGAGAGGCACCAGGGACACCGTCCACCCAAAGGCAATCCCGGTGTGCAAAGAGTCAGGGCTTCCTGGGGGAAGCAACGACCAGAGAGACTCAAAATGAGTCCAGGACTCGAATGGACGTTTCTCCAGAGAGGAAGCACAAGTGCCCTCTGAGCCCGTGAAAAGACGCTCAGTGGTCATCAGGGAAATCAGGGCAAAGCTGCATATGACAGTGGCATAATCGGTGCCACTCCATAGGATCGGGATGGCTATCATAGCAAAAGAGAAAGTGACCAGTGTTGGTGAAGATGAGGAGAAATTAGAGTCCTGTATGCCTCTGGTGGGAATCAAAGAGGTGCAGCTGCTACAGGAAACAGTGTGACTACTTCTTTAAAAATTAAAAATAGAATTACCATAGGATCATTCACTCCTTGGTATGTACCCAGGAAACAGGGACATCGGAGATACCTGGACACCCATGTTCCTAGCAACATCATTCACAAAAACTGAAAGGTGCAAGCTATCCAGGTGTCTATCCACAGATGACTGAATTGGGAGTATGTGGCATATACACTGGAATATTACTCAGCCCTAAAAGGGCGGGGATTCTGACACCTGTGGCCACATGGATGAGCCTGGGGGAGCTACCGCTAACTGTAAGAAGACATCACAGGCTCCCACCTCTGGGAGATGATGTGTCGAGTGGTCAACATCGCAGAGCCGGAAATGGCATGGTGGTTGCCAGGGCTGGGTACAGAGTTTAATTTTTAATGGGCACAGAGCTTCAGTTTTATAACACAAAAGCTCCATGGAGATTGGCGGTGGGTGTGTCTGTGCAGCATTATATGGATTCGGCACCACCGAGCTGTACACCTGGGCCAGGATGGCAGATGGCAGACTGTGATGTGTGTCTTACTATAATTAAAAAAAAACAAAAACCCCACTTCTGATTCAAAAACTCCCTGGGAGGTGTTGACCCCTGCGGGCAGAAAGTCAGGTGCGCATTCCTCTCCTTCCCCTGAAAGGCTCTTCCCCAGTGTCTCCAGAAGGTGACTCCTGGAGACCCAGCTGTCACCCAGCGGCTGGTGGCGCGGCCCTCAGGACTGTGCCCTAGTGCTCCCCCCTCCCTCCTGCAGCTGCCCCACCTCCCCTGGCCCCTCGACCTCCATCCTCAGGAAGAGCAGCCCCGAAACCTCAGGCTGTGCCTCTGCCATCAGGTGAGACAGATGGCCCTGGGCAGGCAGGTGAACCGAGCTGCATCTAATGAGCAAATATTTACGGAGGTTCCACGGGCTGGGGCCAGGCTGGGGGCGCTGGAGAGCGCCAGGCGGCTGCGGGCCTCCAGGACTGGTGTTGGGAAAGCAGAAATTAATGATGTGGTTAATGATCTGTGAACAACTCTTGGCCCTACCAGAGACTCTGGGCAGCCTCTTTGGTGACATGATTAATTTCTCACCTAAACACTGTTTATTAATTTGGGGTTTTGTGCTGGGACAACCTCTCAAAGTCGCAGAGCAGCACCCAGGAAGTGCAGGTGGGGAAGCAGACCTGGCCAGGAAAGGGCGTAGCCTTG